TTCCCATGATCCAGAACATCAGGCGAGAGGGTGAGAGTGCTTCGTGAGCAGGTCACGACCTCCTTCCCCGGGCGGGGCTTCCGCAGCAGATAATGCCCTCACTCCCTGTGGTGGGGGAGGGTGACACCTTGCCTTACCTTTCTGAGAGGCCTTTCACAACTGGCTAGAAAAAGCAGCACCAGAATTCCATTGGTGAGGTCCGAGAGAAAAACAGGGCCCCCAGGCCCGACCGGCGTGGCTCAGTTGGTTGGGCATCTCCCCACACAGTTGAAAGGCTGCCAGTTTGATTCCCAGTCAGGACACATGCCTGGGTTTTGGGTTCAATCTCCAGTCAGCGCACAGACAAGAAGTGATGACCAGTCACTGATTCTCTCACACCCATATTTCTCTCCATCTCTTTCTCCCTCCCTTACCCTTTCCCTAAAAACAAATAAATAACATCTTTGTTTTAAAAAAGAGCATCCCCCAGAGGATTGTAAATGGCAAAGTCTCAAGAGGACATTAACAAACATGTATCAATGGCAACCAAATGACAAAGAACAGCGATAGCCCACTGGGGCCGAAGACTGCGGTCCAAGGACCTCTGACCGGACAACACAGTCCTCCGAACGCCAGGGGAGAAGGCAGATGTCTCACCGTGCGGAGCCTCCGGAGTCGGGAGCCTGTGCACCACCTGCGCCCGCCGTCTGAGCGGGGTCACCACTCCAGAGCCAGGAAGGGGGAGGCTAAGAACCGACGGCCAGGAAGGAGCCACGGGACAGCACGCTCCACCCACCTGCAAAGGGACGCTACACCCGGACGCTCCACCCGGACGCTCCACCCGGAACGCACTGGGGACGGCGCTCTTGAACTCGGAACCCCACCCACGCAAACTTGCTCATTTTGAGAAATGTAAAAAATACAAAGTACTCAGTTTCTCAAAATGAAAATATTATAGGATTATATGACAATCCTGGGGGTGGGGGGGACAAATAAACTTGGAAGAAAATGTTTACTAACTTGAACCAAACTGGAAAAATTTGTAAACATTTCAGACTGCTTTCTACATCGTTGAGAAAAGCAGAAGAAAGCAAAGCAGCGCCACTGTAGAAAGGCCGGCAGCGGACGCGACGGCCCTTCACATGACAAGAGAAACGGGCCCAGGCGAAAAGGCCGCGTCCTGCGTGGTTCCACACGTGCGACATCCGGGGCGGGGCAGGCCGTAGAGACTGTGAAGCGCAGCGCTGTCGGCGGCTGCGGAGGAGGGATGAGCAGGTGGCACCCGGGGGACTTTCGGGTCCTGAAGCCATTCTGTGTGGCAGGGTGATGGTGGATACACGTCATTCTGCATTTGCGAACCTGAACCATACAGCACAGAGAGTGAACCCTGATGTAAACCACGGACTTTAGATGGTAACGTGCCAACCCCAATCGCAGCGACATGCTCAGTAAGATGGTAACAAAAGGGAAAAGTGAGAGGTAGGGGTATGGGAGAAATCTGCACTGTCTGCTCAACTTTGCTATAAACCTAAAACAGCTCAAAAAACAGTCTGTTACTGGGGGGGAAAGTTTCTAAATATGTAAAAGTATTCCATACAAACCTCACTCATGATCCAGAAAAAAATCCCAAGCCTCCCGACATACTCTCAATATACCCCAAGTTATAGTCCTTCCCTGGCATCTCGCTAGAACCAGGACCTCATGTCATTCACACAAGCAGTGTCTAGAGGTGACATCTTTTTATCAGATGACTCACTGCCCCAGTGAAAAGGTTTCAGATACTCTGCAGAACAAAAGCAAGACCCAGGACGGCAGTGGTGGCCCCTCAGTCAACCTCAAGGTCGCCTCCAGCCTCACTGCTCCTCAACAGAAGCCCACGGTCTGTAGAAGCAAAGTTCCTCCTGGCACTGCAGGGGCCTCCCCGCGTCCACCTGCGCTGTTGTCTGTCGGAGCACCGCGCCGCACCGCACCGCACCGCCCTCCTCGGCTGCTCCGGTCCTGCTGTCAGGGCCGCAGCCAGCTGCCTCCTGGGACCCACGGCCCCTCTCGGCTGAGTGAGGGAACAGGTACAGGCAGACCGTGCTTCCTCGTCACTTCAGAGTTTCCCGTGTATTGGCTGCGAGGGTCCCGTGATCTCCCACAATTATTTCTCTATTACCTCCTACGAGGAGAATCGAAGCTTCTTAAGGAAAACAAAGTTGTCTCTTAAAGTCACACTGGAGGAAAGATCTGTCATAGAAACCAACAGAGGAGACTGCGGATGGGCCAAGGCTAGAGCTGGCTGACCTCCACTGGTCTGTATACTAGGTGACCGGGGACCTTCACCAGGCCGGACTCGGCGGAGGGGCAGGGACCAAGACTAAAGGCTACAGGGTGAAACATGGATGGGCATGAGGAGTCTTCGCCAGAGACGTCACCACAGAGGCTGTTGTGCAACCATGACAGGCGACCAGAGATGTCTGAGGACACTTATTTGAAGAATGAGAAGGCCATTCCTCCAAATGGTCCTCCTCTCACGCCGGGTCTAGCAGTAAGGACAATACATCTATGGGCCGTCAGTGCTTCGGTTACCAGCAAAGCTCTCTGCACTGAGTGCTTCCTGGGCAGTGTGCCCTTGCTTACGAGAGGCACAAGGCACAAGTGGCGACGGCTTGGGAATTGTCAATTAGGCAGGCTAGTCACAATTACAGTCAACGAAAACTTTAAAACCCACAAGAAAACAAAAGTGTTTCAGTTGGTCGAGGTAAGTCAAGTAATGGATGGCACTTGTCATTTTTTTATGACGAGTGCGAAGAACAGGAGGTGCACTTGCCCGTTGGCTTGGATGAGGGACCAGGCCATTCACGCGTGCAGACGCCACGGCAACGCACGGCGCTGACCTGCGCTCTGCGTCTGGTCTGGGCATAGACTTTATCTGGTTCCACTTTCCCATTTTAAAGTTCAGACTAGACATAGCTAAGGCATTTTATAAAACAAACCAGGGGTAACTACGTGACAAGAAAAACTAAGCAGAAATGTACTCATTTTCTGCTGTTCTTGGAAAAACGTGGAGGGCTGTAACAGCGGAGGCATATCTGGAGAAGGAAAAAGAAGACATTGAAGTTATGAGTGATCTGGCCAAGGAAGTGCTCGTCCCACTCGAGAACTCACCAGAAAGCTCCATGAAAGGCACCGACAGGGGACTGTCCCTTTAAACCTTCAGAAGTGACTGGAAGAATGATGAGGGAGCACCCACCTGTGTGTCTGTAGCTCCCACATGATTCTGTGGTGACTGAGGGGATACACTTCTCACTAGTGAATAACTATCAAAGCCTATTGAAATAGTCCTCCATAATCAAGAGAAGATGAAAACAGGAATTTTGTGAAAGTCACCTATTTTCTTACTCTTTTAACAATTTATGATCAGAAAGTCCCCAGGATACTCTCAGTAAAAGAATACACGGAAGCATGGCTAACTAAATTATTTGTACATGCCCTGGCTGGTGTGGCTCAGTGGACTGAGTGCCGGCCTGTGAAGCAAAGGGTCACCAGTTTGATTCCCAGTCAGGGCACATGCCTGGGTTGTAGGCCGGGTCCCCAATTGGGGTGTGCAAGGAGCCACTGATGGATGTATCTCTCACACACTGTTGTTTAAAAGAGGGGGAAAAAGACAGGAGGGAAGGAAGACAGGGAGGAAAGAAGGAAAAGTTTAATTGCCCAGGTGAATAGCAGGGGTGAGAGACTGGCAGGCGATCCAGAAAAACTGTCCCCCAATCCCGCAGGACACCGGATGGTTCGTCACTTTCTGCATCTGCATTCGCCACCCTCACAGAGAACATCCTGTTCTGCCCTGAATTGGCGATCTTTTCACTTAGTCTGTGTGTCTGACATGTTATTCATAGGATCCTTGAGTGGGAGTGAAATTTCTGGCCCAAGTGTGATACACAGGCTGAAAACTGTGATACGTGCACTCAAGTTTCTTGATTGGACTTGGGGGGCAGGCTTTGGGCGAGTCACAGACCCCTGGAAAGTGTAGATGCCATGTGCAGGATGTGAGCACATGGACAGCTTTCTAGGACTTTTGGTTCTTACAGTGTCTCTTGGAATACAAGCTGCCCGAGGGGAGAGGATGAGTGTCCCCCGCTACAGAATCCTGAACGTCCAGTCTGTGAACATCGAGTTTTGCCAAATTCGGTGTTTCTTGTTTCGTCATTGTTTTCTGAAGGGGTTGTACCACTCCAAATTGATTTTTACCCCGATTTCTATTTATTTCTTTTTGGAGAGAGGGGAAGAAAGGAGAAGGGAGGGAGAGAAACGCTGATATGTGAGAGAATCAGCGATGGGTTGCACAGGTCCCCAACCAGCCAAGGACTAGCCTGCAACCCAGACATTGTGCTCACTGGGAATCAAACCAGCGAACTTCCGCTTCAAGGGTCGACGCTCAGCCAACCAATCCTCACCAGGGTCGGGGCACCAAATTTCAGTGTTTTAAAGTAACTTGTTAAACTGACAAGTCCATGTACCCAGGAATCTCTTTACACCTTCATCCCACTCTTGCAAGGTCTTAGCATTTCTGCTTTCCGTAAATGCCTTTGTCACCTCCCTCTCTCACCAGGCGACACTCTGAAATGGGAATGGCAAAGAGCGCATCCCAGCGTACTTCCCATTCAGAATGGAGAGAACTGAGTGACTGCTGGGAAGGAGGTAACGAGCGATGCCGACACTTGAGGACGGTTCTGGAGGCTGCTTTGAGGTCGTTGGGTCAGTAGCAGCAGACGTTGTTTTCCCCTGATCTCCAGGAGAAGTGCACACATGGCAGTTACATGTATGTATGGCAGTTACGTATATGGCAGTTACACATAGGTGTTTGAATCTTTCAAACTGGTTGCCAGGTTGGAATGACCAATGACATCAGAGGCTTCCGACCATCCTGATTGGAAGAATCAAACTCCGTGGCGCTTGGCAGCAGAGTGGACAACAGCCTCTTCCCTTCAGCCTGTGATCGCCCAGATTTCCTGAAAGAGAAGAGTTTGAAAGAAATCATGGCCAGCCATGAACAGAGTCACCAGTCTGACAACCCAAGCCCCCAGCCAAGCACCTCGGGGTATCCCCTGGAGGTGAGAGTAATTCAGGTCAACCCAGGACCATCAGGTGAGGAAACAGGGGTCATAGGGATTTGATAGGGACGACCATTAAGGAGGACGGTGAGTAGGGTGTGTGTGAAAGAAAAGGGAGATTCAGAAAGCCAGGGATTGGAGGAGACTGCAGGAGGTGGGGACAAGGATGTCCCCATGAAAGGAAAGCCTGGGAGGCAAGGAAAGAGGGTCAGGAGATGAGAGCCAAAGATGAGAGAAGGGAAGGGAGGACACAGTGAGGTTCTCTTCTATGGGAACAAAATGACCTGTAACAAGGAAGAGTTTTCAGGGCCAAGATGTAGAACAAGGGCAAGGGGAATGAGGGAGGGGGATGGACACCACGGGAGAAAGGTGAAGAGACGGCTGGGGAGGAGGCCAGTAGCCCATGAGACCAGAGAGAATGGAGGGGTTTGTTTGAGGAGAGGATGGGTGCGGTGGGGTGGGCATCTGCTTTAGGTGACCAGTAGCTGAATTTCAAAGGCAAAAAAGTCTTACCTCGTACCCTGGGTTCTTTACTCAGCCCGCTGTGTGGATTCCAGCCCCCTGCCTGCAACCTCAGGTGGCTGTAAGAGGAAAAGAAAGAGGCCAACCAAGGAGGAGGCGGGGGAGGAATTGGAGGAGGAGACCGCCCCCAGGCCTGAAAATACATGGGCCATAGAGACCGTGTGCGGCCTGAAAATGAGGCTGAAGAAGAAGCGCACCTCCACGGTGCTGCCCGAACACCACGAGGCCTTTGCCAGGCTGCTCAGTAAGAAGACACCCTGCAGAGCACCGTCCAATCCTTAACAAAATGTATTAATACCTGTATTTTCCCAACAGAAAAGAACCCCCCGCCAGCCGGTTCACTCTCCATCCTAGGAGAACTCCCAATTGGTCGCTCATGGGGACACTTAGAAGTGATGCAGGATTAGGCTAGACTTGAAAAGGCTTGCACTTGGGGTTCCGAGGCGTGGTTTCAGCCGCACCCTCTGGACTTCTTAGCTCTGATTGGCCCTTTGAATCCAAATGCCGGCACCTGTGTAAGGGGGCACCATGAGGCCCCCACTGCACCCTGATGTGCTGTCCATTGAGAAAATGACTGACTGGCTAGGGCAGCGCCAGGGGTACACTCCTGTGTGACAAGGGGGCAGCGCTGATTATTTCGGATCCGAGTGATGCTACTGCCACCCTACCTGTCACCCGGTCCCCCCACACTGGGTGGGGGTGGTGTCCCCTGCTTCCTTGCTCAGGGAACAATCTTCCCTACCCCTCTTCCTGTCAGTCTCAGCCTTGGCCACAACCTGAACCTTGCCCAAGAGGGACACTGTTCTCCGCTTTGCCCCACCATGCGCCCCCAACAACCCTGTTCCTGTGGCCAACCTAACACCTGCCCTCTCTTCACAGAGGATCCTGTCGTGAAAGGGTTCCTGGAGTGGGACAAAAGCCTGAGGCTCACGGACAAGGTAAGAGGTAACTCCTGCTCTACCTTTGGTCCTGGGGTGGGGGAGCTTCCTGGGCCCACGGTTCCCAGTGCAGCCGGACGCCTCGTCTCCACTTCCCCTCTGGGACCCAGGTGGTTCTTGCAGTGCGGGTGGCAGCCCTGCCTCCGGCCCAGCTCCTGTGGCATCTGAGCCCAAGGCCCGTCCCTGTGGTTGCTGGCACATCGAGTCCCCTGTTCTCTCAGCTCCCGGGGACTCCCCCTCACTCCGGCTTATCAGAAACCCCGTGATGCGGGCTGTGCTACACACATGCCCTGAAGCCCTCCGCCCTCGCCGTCCTGGGAGCAGCGGCTGCTCCCTTGTCCCACGTTCCTCCCCTGTCACCACATGAGTCCTCTGCTATGTTCTTCCCCTCTCACCACCAGTACCTACTGGCGATGGTCATCGCTTACTTCAGCCGCGCGGGCCTCTTCTCCTGGCAGTACCAGAGAATTCACTTCTTCCTGGCCCTGTGAGTACTGCGCTGCAGCCCGCCAGTCGGCGTTCATCCTCCGGGGAGGGCAGGGAGAGGAGCGGGCCTCCCACCTTTCTCCTGTTCTTCCGACCATGTCTACTGTGTGCTCTGTGTAGACCCACGATAGGCCTGGAGCGTAGTGTTTGTGACACCGTTCTTTGTAAAAGCCAACAACCCTACTGCCAGTTAAAAGAGGGAACGAAGAAAAGAAAACATAAAAGCCTCATAAAGAACTGACTCCACTCTTCCCGAGTGAACAAGCTCGGACTGACCATTTCTCATTTTTCCCTTTCCCTCCCCCCACCTCATAACATGACCAAACGTGGTGGTATTTCTCCTCAACCGAGGCCGTCTTTAAATAACACAGACCTGTTGTGAAAGGCTCCCTGGGGCCCTGGTCGGGTCGCACAGCTGTTTGAGTGTCGTGCAGTACACCAAAATGTTTCAGGTTCGGTCCCGGTCAGGGCACATGCAGGAGGCAACCGACCCATGTTTCTCTCTCACATCAGTGTTTCTCTCTCTCCCTCTCTCTAAAGTCAATAATTACATCCTGGGGTGAGCGGAAAAAGCCATGACCCCTAGGGATGTTTCTTACAAGTCTCTCTGAATATACCTCTAAAACCCCCGTCTAACCTCTTCACCACTCTGCCCCCAACAGTGTCATTGGCTAATTTTGTTCTAAACCAAGGCCAGCGTTCCCAGTTTGACATCAGCTCTCTCTACAATCTCCATCACATTTCCTCCCCATCCTGACATGACAATCTTTGTTTCGCTGGCCTTCCCTGGTTTGATATTGTTTTAGGTCGTGGTATTTTTTATACATATGTAACTAACAGAAATGATTTCTTCTGAAAACTAACTCAAACACCAGAATCTTCAGACCCCCTGACTTCTGCAACCCAGTAGCACTTTAATTAAAATTCTATCACAAGGTGGTATTTTGGATTCTAATTATTTCTCATCTCCACCTTTCTCCTGCTTTAATCCCATCAGACTAGACCAGTGTCGAAGGCAGTCTTGTCAAAATGTCAATGGCTCCCTAACACACTCAGCACAGTTCTCTTCATGTTACAAACTTGAAGTTATATTGAGTCTCTGAGGTAATCGGTTTTGCACTTGACCATGAGACAGAGCATTCTGTCATTCATTCTATGAAACCTTATCAAGTGCATCTCAAGTGCCCGGAAACGTGAGGTTGGGAAGAGAATTCAAGGAGGGCTGCTGAGGGCATGCACTGAGGACCCAAGCCCTCTGCTGGTCACTGGGTAGGAAAGGGATGAACACCACAATGGGCCGGCCGGGCCCTGCCCGCAGGCGCTGTCTAGGGACTTACACTACAGGGAGACAGGTGTGTGCACACATGGCAGGTCAAAGGAAGGGGGCGGGCTTCCCCACTGAACCTTATCTGCACCATCAAGGTGTGAGAAGTGCCCTTCAGGTCCAAGGTCTGCAGGGACTTCTTGATGGCAGGGTGGCACTCTGTGACACTGGATAGGGCTCCTGTGAGTCCTGTGTGAAGCTGACCCAGTCTCTGTCCTTTCTGGGAAGTGGACCTCAGGCAGGGGTCCTTCCTGTCTGGCTCCCGACTAACACCTTGATGGCTTTCCTCAGCTACCTGGCTCTTGATATGGAAGAGAATTACCACGCCCCTAAAGAGGCCATCTTTTCCTTCCTCTATGGGGACAGCAACTGCGCCCGGCGTCCCTTGTTCCACAAACTACGATTTCAGTTCTTTCGTTCCATGGGCTACAGGGCGTGGGTCTCCAAGGAAGAGTGTGAAGAGGTAAGTGGGCTGTGGGGACCTGGCGGAGGGGGGACCAGGCAGGAGAGAGAAGGGGTCGTGGGGGATCGCAGTCCCGATCGGGGGATGAGAGAGATTAGGGGGCTGGGCAAGGGGAGCGACTGGGTCTGTCCAGAGAGTCCTCGTCTCCTCAGGGGCTGTTTGTCTTTCCAGATCCAGGCCTTTGATCCCGAGCTGTGGGTGTGGAGGCGAGATCGCGGCCTCCTTTCTGAAATCAAGAAGCCCGAGGTAGGTGAGCAGGAAGGCAGGGCTGTGTCTGCACAGGTCCAGACGGAACGACCGGTGGTCCCTTCAGGAAATCCAAGACATGTAACTGCTGCACCCTCTCTCATCCTCCCCACCCCGCCCCTCCCCCTCCACACACTGCGAAGCACACCCGCCAGGCACACGGCCAGGCACCAACTCGGCTCCCAGCCACCAGCTGACAAACCACACCCAGGCTCCTCGATGGGGCGTGTTGGTGCCAGGCCTCAAGATTTGGCTGGAATCATTTCACTGAAGCGGCCGGGTCCAAATGGCAGCTTGTTGGAATACCGAGTGTTGTGAAAAGTGGACATTTTCCCTATATTGTGTTTTGACTTCCTGGTGTTAATTCAGTGGGCCTGTCATGCCTCAGACATAGTGGCTATAGTGACTATAGTGACTTACCTACAATGAAGTAAATGCATAACATGGGATAGGAGATGGAATCGTCTCTACATCCAACAATAAAAGATAAATCATGACTGGCTCTATTCTCATCCAAATTTACTCTCAAATTGCTGATGGCCACATCACAGGTGTGTTCTAAATTTCCCCTGCCTCACCAATCTCCCCTCTTGCACAAGTGCAGTTTTCCCTCAGGTTTAGGGTCCAGGAAGTTTGTCAGAACGAGCGAAGGTTGAGAAAGACTAGCTCTGGCCATGGCTCACCACGACCCACACATTAAGAGTTACAGCTTTGGGCAGAGCATTAAGCAAAGGTTTGCTTTTAATCTCGAGAACTAGCTATCTGGGACCACTCTGGCTGCTATAACAAAAGACCAGAGAGTGGTGGCTTACACAGAACAGACCTTGACTTCTGCTGGTCCTGGAGGCTGGAAGTCTGAGGTCAGGTTGCATTCTGGTGAGGACCCTCGTCCGTGCTGCACACGGGCCAGCTCCCCGCCGGGCGTGCACTCGGAGTGAGGGCCGAGACGTGGCTCTGGGGTCTTCTAGACGGGCAATAATCTCGTCATAAGGGCTCCACCCGTGACCTAATCACCTCCCAAAGGCACCCACTTCTTCTTCTTTTTGTAAACCCTCTCCCAAGGATATGTTACTGATTTGAGAGAGAGAGGAAGGAAGAGAGAGGGACAAGCAGCCATGTGAGAAGGGCTCTAGCCCAAAACCTAGGTACGTGTCCTGACCAGGGATCAAACCCACAACCTTTTGGTGTATGGGTCGACGCTCCAACCAACTGAGCCGCCATCGCCCCAGGGGTTATGAACTGGGGGGACACAAGCACTGTGACTGTAGCACTGGCCAAGTTCAGACCAGGCACTACGGGTGAACACTAGAATCCAGGGTTAGCGCCAGGGAGCAGGCCCCTGGCCACACGGTTTGTAATATTGATGTGTCAGGGATGTTTTAGAGTGGTTACAAGTTCATATTTTCAGTTGTACAATGGACCAACGTGTGAGTAAGGTGAGGCAGGACTCTGCCTCTGCGGGCTGCTCCCTGAACAGAATCACTTTGAGTCCTTTCTAGGAAGCAGGTATACAAAAAAATTTTTGGACTCGGGGTCATCAGACTTCAACAATCATACTTGAAAAACAAAAGTGTGAGACAGAGATTGAGAATGGAGGATTAGAGAGATAATTGGATTTATAGGTTAGTCTAAACTCTGCTTGGAATTGACTGAGAATTTAGATCATCTTCCTATCTGGAGAGTTGCCTTCTTGAAGAGTGACATCCTGTCTCTCTCTCACTTCCAGGTCGCTGCACCCACGGGAGATTCCAGTTCTCAGCAGCAAGTGAATCCAGGCGCTAATGACAGGCCTGAGGAAGGGAAAGAGGAGCCTCCGGTGCAGATAACCTAGCAGAACCCAGAATGTTCCCGAAAGAGCTGGAGAGTTATTATGCCCTGCTCTTCAGAACAATTCTAGGAGTCCATCTAAGGACAGTTGGAAACCAGACTTTTTTCAGGTTCTGCCCCTTTCTAAGTTAACACCCCAAATCTCCCATGTTTAATTCACATCTCCCCTGAGGGAGAAGCTGGAAGTCCCATTTTCTGTATGCTTGGTTGCAACTGCACGGAGCCGTTGGAAGGTGGAGTTTAGGGCTCCAAGCAGAAGGAAATATTTGGGAGTGTAAAATTAGAGCCATAAGACTGTGACAGCTGAATGTATGCCAAATTTTACTGATTTATTTAGAAAATGTTCCCATAGGGTGATTATATGTATTCTCATATTTAATATTTATATATTTATTATTTAAAAATTATAGGTTTATGTTAAATAGTTTTGAAATAGTCTAAGTTTTGAAAACATCCTGTTCCTACTGAGGTTTTGGCGATTATTATAGCTGTTTTACATATGTAAATGTAGTTTTGTTTACCTTATCGGGACAGGTTTTTGTGCTTTTATCTGTTACGCCGTATCAATGACCTTAGAGCTGGGTGAGTAGTTCCCTCATACTCTTGTCAAAATAAATTTTTATGTTTTGTTTGGCCTCTATTACTGAACTGTGAGAATTCAGTTGTAATTTCTGAACTTGCCTGGCTGACATGTTTGTGTGTTATTTCAGATCATTAAAGAGCACAGTGCAATGCATCCCTTGAGGAAATACAATAAAGGTGAAATTCTCACCTCCGTGATGTGTGTGGTTGTCCCAGTTTGATTAGCTGCTCACTGTCAGGGGACAGTGTAGCTTAATGGAGTTGATGCTACTCACCAAATTTCTTAACTCTCGGGAATAAATGATCCTGAATGGTTTTCCAGGTCAGTAGGAAAAGCAAGAGTTTGAGGCCCACCTCTTGCCTCAGCTAGAGTCTGGGAGCAGGGAAGGAGGTCACGACATTGAGGTAGGAGAACGGGAAGAGCAGAGAGAAGGAGAAAGCACCGCCGGCACCTAGACAACAATGTGAAATTCAAAACAGAGCACAGGTGACTCAACGAGATGCGCGCCTCCCTGGAAATGGCTGTGAGACGTGGACCCGCTGGCACCAGAGAACACACACAGTGTTCATGACCTTCAACCCTAATGGGAGCCCTTCCCACAGCCTCCCATATCAGCTTCATGTGGTCGGAGGAGGAGAGTCTGTGGTGAGGTGGGAACCATGGGAAAGAGATGAGGGTATTGGAGAAATTCTGAGAAAAATACAAGAGAGAGAAGAGAGGATGAGCTCAAGCCGTGAAATGGGATGCAGGTAGAGAAGGAGGAGCTAAAATCATGAACAGAGGACCACGGAGGAAAGCCAAGCAGCAGGACGGATGGGAGGATCCCGGATACCAAGTCCCCATGGCCTCAGGCCGGGCCTCCCTCATGGCACACAGGTGTGTTCACCCACCCCTGACCTCTAATCACAGGGCTGGTCTCTCTGGCCTGGCTGGTCCCCACCCTGAGTCACGTCCTCAGCATGAACCCAGGTGCGCTCCCAAGGACCCAGCACAGTTTGAAAGACACTCCTGTCACTCAGGAAATTCCCAGGACTTAGGAGCTTCCGCCAGGGGGACAGGGTCAAGGGCCAGCCACAGCACTCATTACACAGCACACTGAGCATTGCCAGGAGCTCCACTGGAACTCAGGTGGTCGGGGGAAGTAAACAGCTGTGGGTGCAGATGTGTGTTAAGGCCGCAGCTGTGGCAGGGGAGACAGAAGAAGCTGAAGAAGTGGGCAGTGAAATAACGGGGTGCTCATGGCCATCGAAATAGCACAGCAGGTGCACGCACTTAGGACACGGGGGCAGCTCACGACACACGAGTGACTGAGTGAAGAGAAGCCAAAGAGAAAACATGGCTGTGTGCTGGGTTGGGGGTTCTTTTTGCCAACGAGCTGGAAGGAAGGCATCCCAGGCTAATATGTGTTATCACAGAACTCTGTTCACTAAGTAACATTTCAATTAAACGTGTCACTTATGAGTGAGCCTGATATACCCCTTCCCCTTATTTATCAGAGTCACCTGTGGTCACTGATTCGAAGGCTTAAGCTCTCAAACAAAGGACAGCACTGGCGCTACGGGACGCCTGGTGCAGCAGCAACATGACAGTCCTGAAGCTACAGGACGCCCCGTGCAGCGGCGACATGACAGTCCTGAAGCTGAGGGCAAGCGAGTTCAGTGCCTGGGTGGACGGTCTGCTCCACACAGCGTCTGTGCAAACGGAGCACGGGAGTTCCCTGTGCCGTCCTTGTAACTGTTCTGTCAATTTGAAGTTTTAAAAAAATAAGTTCTTTTGAATAAAAGAGAATGCTGTTAAATGTTAGTGTATAGTGAAAGTTTCTAAATGTCTCAGAAAGTAATGTGAGGTGATTCAAAGATGGACCCACTTAATCATCAAAAAGAGGAACAACGTCAATATACCGAAAGACTGACAATTCACTTAAACCTGTGAGCTAATAACAATAACGAAATGAAGCAGATATCAAATCCTGTCACTCAGGGTTTTGGAAATCAACTTTCTTGTATGAACCACGGATCCAAGGAGAGTGAAGACGGTTTTCTTCAGAAAAGTATTGCAGCTAGTAAATGAAGAAGAGATGGTTGAAGGAGCATGGTACCATTTTGTCTCAATGAACATCGACTACCACGACTAACATCGAAGACAGGCAGACGTACGAGCTTTCAGAAGAAAGAAGACAAGTGTCACGGACAGCAGTCTTGCTAAAAGAACCAAATCTAAGTCTGAGTAAATTTCCAATCCAACTACCAACTTTACGAGGCATACAGTCAACTAAAAAAAATTTTTTTAAAGTAAAATCAAAACAGATGGCAGTGCAATCAACACAATCCAGGCTGTGGAAAATGAGGGTAAACAACTCAAAAAAACAAATTGCTAAGACATAACTCAAGAGACATATAGGGGTAGTTGCTATGAAAAGATTTAAAAACCTATCTACTAACTGAAGCATATGGACTCTATTTGTGTACTGACTGAAAAGAACAAACCGGAAAGCTTTTAGAAAACTGTGAAACTTTGGACATTAAATATTATGTGAGGAAGAATGGGTCCTGGCTGGTGTGGCTCGGTGGATTGAGCACCGGCCTGCAAACTGTAAAGTTGCCTATTTGATTGCCAGTCAGGGCATGTGCCTTGATTGCAGGCGTGCGGCAGGCTTCTGACTGACGTTTCTCTCCCTCTTTTTCTCTCTCCCTTCCCCTCTCCCTAAAAATAAATAAATAAAATCTTTTTAGAAAAGAAAGAATGGTGTCATGGGGTATCCCCACCCACTTTTTCAAAGACTCCTTATCATTCAAAGATCCGTACAAAAGTACTTACAGGTAAAACTTTTAAAAAGGCAAGTAAAGGAGGAAAACATCTGTCAAGGGCAGATGAATGGTCACGTGAGGAAATGGGCTGGAAAATGCCTGCTGGGTTTCAGTATAATCAGGTCGAGGCCAACCTTTACCAATGGATGCGGGAAAGCCGTGAGGACAGAGCTGGGGCACAGAGAACTGAAGTGGGAATGGGAAGTGAAGGCATCTTCACTAGAGAATACTTTTTCTTGTTGTTAGCTGGCAATCAAGTAAAAAGAGTACCAGAAATATTGGAAGGATGAGCAGGTCACTGCCCCATGACTTCCGGTTTTAACGATTCCCTGAATTTAACAGTAAAGATGGAAATGTCATTATGCTCACTAATCTCTTCTTCTGGCAATGCTGTTAACCTGGTTCAGTGTAATTTTCATTTCAAGAAGATATTCTAGTTCTTATCTGTTGTAGTTCAACTTGAGTCTTTTAAAATATCTCTTCTGCCTCTACTCAATTTTTTCAACATATGGAATACAGTTAATAGGCGATTTTAGTATTCTTTGTTAACTGCAATATCCATGTCAGTTCTAGGCCCCTCTCAGTTGACTGGTTATTTTCTGTAGGGGTTGTATTTTCCTACTTATTTCCTCCAATTTCTCAGCTCTTTCCCAACTGTCTCAGTTTCCCCTCCTGTTCTGTGGCCAGAACTGTAAAGTGGTAGCCCACCTTGTGCGTGTCCGGCCCCTCATAGGAATGTCTCGTGTTTCTTCATTAAGTAACATCCTGACTTTAGATTCAAGAGGACTGAAGCATAAACATGTGTGCGTGTGAGCGTGTGTATATGTGCATAAATTTTAAAAGTGTGTCTATGTGCCTGTGTGTGGTTGAGCTGTACATATATGTAACCTACATAGGTATGTATTAGACACAGTATGCATATTAGGTTATAAGAGTTCATATGTATGTATGTACATGTATTCATGTTAGTGAAGCATTAGTCAATTCCCATTTCCTTGAAAGTTTTCATTTTTTAATTTGATATGCAGTTTAAATATCATCAGAGGCTTTTCCAGCATCTTTGGAGATAAAAGAGTTTTCTTCTTAGCTGTATTCTAATGGCATATTAATGGGTTGCCATATTGAAGTAGTCTGTATTCTTGGAATAAGTCCCATTTAGCTATTACAGTGATCTTTTCAATCTGGTATTGGATTCTGTTTGCTAGTACCTTAATTTGGAGGTTTGTGTTGATGTAAGTAATATTGGCATGTAATTTTATTGATTATTGAGCAGTCTTCCAACCCCCACCACTTCTTGCCTTCTGTAGGACTTTGACCCAGAAGGTTATTCCGTCTCATGAGTGATTTATAAGCTCACTTGGCTCACTCTCGGAGTAACCAGACCTCCTGCTCATCACTCAGCTCTCTTGCCGTTCCAGGGAATCGCACCTGTGGGGCCGACAGGTGGGGCTGTGGCAGAGAGCACAGAGTCTTTGTACAGTAAATACCCGGGGAACGGAGCATATTTCCTGAGCACTTCCCTTCTGAAGAGAGTCAAACGTCTGCAGGTCCCAACACTGCTCCTTCTCCCAGCACTGAACGCCCACACGTGCCGGTCTCGCCCGGAGAGCCTGC